TTCTGAGTGATGAACTTACATGTTATCATTCACTCTTGTAAGCTCTCTTCCTATGTCTTTCCCCACAAACTTATACATAAGAAAGACCTGCTCCAAATGTTTCTATTTAAAAACTTAAGATTTATAACCTTTCTCCTACTCAGATGGAGTCTAATGGTACCTTATCCTAGCGTCAGACTTTTGTGTTCTTAGATAATCACATGAGTGTCTCATCTTCTAGACTAGATTGAAAATGCTCCAGGAGAGTAGGGACAATGACATGTATCTTTGTCTCCATGGCACCAGCAGCAGAGAGTTGGGGATACACACACACACAAACACACTTATGATGCAGACACACTCAGTGAATGAATGAACCCTACCAATATCACTCCAATCCTTTCACTGTGACTATTCATTGTAAAGTTTCAATAGTTTCATAAAAAGCAAAATGTAAATGGCTAAGAGTACCATCTGAGCAGTCCTAAAAAAAATAAAAAAAACCCATAAACTTCAAGCCATATTTAAATTTCTATAATTTTTATGCTAATTCAAATGGCTTTAGATTTAATTAAAATGTTTTTTTTTCAATTGATAATAACGTAACTCAGATAATTATCACCAAGTGGCATCTAGAGGACACATTTACAAAATGAATCTAGAGTATAAATAGATCTAATTGACAATTAGAATAGTCCTTTATAATTATGCTTTGTTTATAAATGCTATAATGTCCAATTCATTGTTCAATGAAATTCCTCGGTAATGAAAACTAAAGGCTTATTCTCCCTGGTGTCGCCATGAAGATGTATTTTAAGTGCCCTGGCTTTCATGTTGTCTATTTTCTTGCTGCTTTAGATAGGCCATTATGGTCCAATGTTTAATAGATGTACTCTATAGTAACAGATAAACTACACTATGCCTTGGCTTACATATTTATTTTATATTTCTCTAGTAGTTGGATGGATCTCCCCACAAAGTTAAATTCTTTTGTGCCTATCATGAAGAGAGAATCTTGTACTCGAGAAAACCCAAGGTTGGGAGAAGCTGCCATGTTCCTGAGCAGAAAGGACCTAGCGTCTGAATGGAAAGCATGGCCTTGAAGACAAGCATGGAAACATCACCAGGAAGATCATGACTGCTGCCTTTGGAGAGGCAGGGAGTTCAGAAGGAGAGGCCTCAATTTCAATGTAATAAGTGAAGCTAAAGAGACATAGAGATCTCTACAAGAGCCAGAGGAGTCTACGCTTCTGGGAATGTGGAATAGGGAGAAAGAGGAAACTTGAGGCAAATAGAGACTGGGGTATGTGAGGAGCAGAAGAATCCTTGAGTGAATGTGTAAAAGAGTGCATGATATTTTGTGTATTGTTGACATGGGCACAGTCGTGTCAAAGAGCAATACCTCAGAGCCATGGGGAATTATCAAATCCTTCCTCAGGTCAGGTTCAGAATGGCAAAGCCCTCCTCTAGTCCAAGTACTAGTGTTTATGATTGGCCAGGAAGTACAAAAACTAGAAACTGCAGTTTCCTCCTCCCAGATTTTTACCACCTGAGAGTTCTTGTTTACAGAGGCAACCAGTGAAAGAAAAGCTCAACTGAATACTTGTCCGGATCAGATAGGCCCTGTGGAAATGTCTGCAAAAGACTGTCTTGACTGGTGATGGCTGTGCCAGGGCCCAGATCGCTATGGTTACTGCTATCTCCTCACAGGTGGCTATGCACTATATAAGAAACCTAGCAGAGAGTAAGCCGAGAGCAGTGTTCCTCTACAGTTTCTGCTTTAGTTCCCGCAGTTACTTCGATCAATGATGAACTGTGATCTGGAAGTGTAAGCCAAATAATCCTTTCCTCCCCAAGTGGCTTTTAGTAAATATGTTTAACCAAAACAACAGAAAGCAAACCAGAACACTTGCACACATAGGAAAGTGTGGCACTCCCTAACCTATGAAGGTATATTCTCTTCTGGCCTCATCGTGTTCTTAGTCTACTAGTCCCACCTTACCTGAGACATGAATACTCCTGTATGTTCATAGCCAATTTCCTTTGTGTACTCACAAGTAGAGTATGTTCAAGTTCAGGTCTTGATATGTCTCCTGAAGCCTAAGTAGGTTACTAGATGCCACCACCAACAAAATAAGTCCCTACATCCTCAGTGTTTACTTACAGGCTACATAGTCTACTCTCACTGCGTTCTGTGCTCCCAAGAGTGCTGAAAGCCAGGCATCATAGGGATGGAGGATACTTAGGAAGAAGAAGCCACATCCACAGTGAAAGTCACAGCTATGTAAGCACAGAAACAAGTGGTAAAGCACTTGTATAGAGTGTGTGAGGGCCCAGGGTCTAGCCTCAGCACCACAGAAAAGAAAGAGAAATGGCAAAAATTGGTTTTTACTCATTTTTCTTATAATATTCAACCTCCCTCTCTCTCTCTCTCCATACACACACACACACACACACACACACACACACACACACACACACACACACACACAAAACACACACATAAAACACACACATATTCTCTCTCTCTCTCTCCCTCCTATAATGTAGTACAGGAAGACCTGTGACTTACTATTAATATGTAGCCCAGGCTAGTCTTAAACTTGCAATCATCCTGATTTGACCTCCCCGGATAAGAGCCGGGATTAGGACTATGCACCACCACTCTGGCTACCTCCATCTCTTGCTTTAGATGGGTGAAAACTAAAGCTTAGTGAGAAAAGTCACCTTGAACACATTTGTTACCAAGAGCTGTCCTAATTGTGTTGCTTACTTTTCATCGTCAACTTGTCACAGCCTAGAGTCACAGAGGACACAGAAGTTGAAATAATAAAACTATTTTGATAACACTCCAATGTCTGACATCTCCACTTTCAACCCTCACCCACATTCCAAGGTGATAACGGACCCTCAGCTATTATAAATCTTGGAGCTATGTAATTTTGGAACTTTGTTTTTATTTTTCACCAATGAAAAGGCATTGCTTGAAAGCCTGTTCTGTAGTAGCTCCCATTCTGAAGATGTGAACAGGGAACCCAGATAGAGAATGCAGCTGAATGGTTTTATAGGTAAGTCACCAACCAGACACTGCACTGCCCTCTCTCCTCCCCACCTGTGCATCCTGTGCCCTCCCCTCCACTTGGCCCCTTAAGGATGGTCACTTATGTCTTCTGACCACTGAGCTGATGACATGCTAAGACAAAGGGACAGGGGCCCAACTGGGTTAGAAAGACTGACTAAGGGTCTGAGGGAAGTGCTTATGATATACCCTCTAATAACTCTCCAATTTCTGATGGTGAGTATTGTTAGCCTTGTTGAGAAGAGAAGAAAAATGGTTCAATGATGTCAGTAACCAGCCCCAAGCCACACAGCTCAGTGTGCAACATCAGCAATTAAAAGCTAGATCTGCACTGGGTGGTGGTGGTGCACGCCTTTAATCCTAGCACTTGGGAGGCAGAGCCAGGTGGATCTCTGTGAGTTTGAGGCCATCATGGTCTGCAGAGCAAGATTCAGGACAGGCACCAAAACTACACAGAGAAACCCTGTGTAGAACCCCTCCACACCCCAAAAACTAGGTCTGCTTCAATAGTATGATTTGAACCACTACACTGGGCACTTTCATTGGGCAGTCTTGGAAGACACAGGTATGCTCAAATTCATTGATCCAGCAGGAAGATCATAGAAATTTCTGTTATGCTTCACATTTTTTTTTTAAAAAAAAATGGGGAATGAGGGATTACTGGGCCATTAAATGCAATCCCTGCTCTTTCAGAGGATCTAAGTTCAGTTCCCAACACCCACATGGCAAACTATAGTCATGTATAACTCTGGTTCTGGGGCATCAGAGGCCCTCTTCTGACTTCCAAGGACACCAGGCACACACATAGTTCATACACATACATGTAGGTAAAATACTCACATACACAAGATATAAATACATGTAAATAAATCATTACACAAAATTTTACAAATAATTTCATTCCTTTCCTTCAGCTCTTGCTTTCTGTCTTTCCTTCCCCAACCCTCCCCTGTCTTTCTTATTCTTTGAATCGGAGCCTCATTCTGCAGCTCGGAGCTCACTATGTAGCCCAGGTTGGCTTCAAGCTTGCAGCAGTCCTGCTTTTGCCCTGGGAGTCCTAGGATCAAAGATGTGAGCCATCACTCTTGGCTTATGAGTACTGACTTCAAACCTATCCACCAGAGCATCTAACTCAGTAATCTGTGGTTGCATCTATAAACCTAAACTTAAAAAAAACCTTCTTGGATTATACTTCATTTGCAGACTGAGAATTCACTTCTCAACCTGCTGGTTTGTAAGAAAACATGTCCTACATGAACACTTCCTTATACGAGCACACATTGAAACCGAAAGGTAATGGTTGAAACAGTAACCAAAATGAATTCAGTGTGAGAAAAGCTCACTGGGGAATCAGAGTCCATGCAGGTCAAACTACCTCCCTTTAAAAGAACCTAGGAAAGTGGCCTCATTTATACATCTCCACCCATTTGCTTGTGTTTGAGTTCCTATAACAATATACTAGAGATTATATGGCTTAAAACAACATACTTATTTTTTTATCTTCACAGTTTTGGAAGATCCAGTGTCATTCTGGCTGGTTTCTGAGAAGAGCTCTCTTCAAGATTCAGGCTGCCAAATTCTCCTTGTGTTTTTAAAAGTGAGGGAAGGGAAAGAACAAGGGCCACCGATGAAGAAGGATGAGGGAGGAAGAGAAGAAGGGAGGAAGAGGAGTAGAGGAGGGGGAGGGGCATACAAACTACCAAACCACCAGCTTCTTCATTTCCTTCCAAGGGACCTCACATTACTGATAAAAGGTCCAATCAGGTTCAGGGACAGATTTCCTGATAAAGGTGTCATCTCCAAGCATTGTCATACCAGAGGGTTAAGATTTTAATATATGCATTGGGGAAAGGCACAAGCATTCAGTGGACGGCACTCTGTCATTGTCCCTTCAAAATATACATGGTAGCATCCAGCCAATCATGTGTTTAAATTTTCTCACCTAAGACTCGCAATCTCTCGGCTCCCACGACCACTTCACTGTCATCCGCAGAAAAGAGCAATTTTCCAGAAACCGTTTTTACTTCAAACTTTTTGCCGTATGCTTCCACAGCTTTCGGACCTAAGAGGGAGAGAGAAAGAAAGAGAAGAGGAATACATTAGGCTCGTTGAATTTGACTACAAAAGCCTTTCATCGGGCACATGTGCTCCCCAGGATTGTGTCTGATTTCAATGTTAAGTGGATTGGTTTTCTGAAGTTGGCCATGGAAATCAGTGTCTTGACTGCATCTCATCTTGTCAATTGCTTTTAATCACATGGTCCTGGGATGTGGTTCTAGAGGTCATCCTATTCTCATATTAATGCTTGAATGAGATTTTTCTCTGCTAGTCCCAAATTAGTGTCAAACACTTGAGGGCTTCTGATCAAAAGTGTCGGGACCCATAATATCATCATCTCTTGGGGGAACTAACCATCTTCAGTTAGTTGTAAATAGCAGACAGGGTTCTCATAAGTTGAGCTGAAATATGTCTGTTTATACCCTTGACCCACTGATTGATATGACAACAAATCTATTTCCTCAGTGGACAGATAATTTCCAAGCAGCAATGGCTATATTATAATTAATTCCTCTACCAGTTAAGTATCTTACAGTGTGAATTAATTTAATAAAAAATAAACTTTGAGATCATTGTGTGGCATCAAATGCTGTTCTTGAACATAGGCTGTCTATGGCATTGCATAAGTGGGGGGCCCTGGTCCCACCAGATCTGTATCCTGATGGAGCCAGACTTACACAAATTCAATTTATTAATGCTTCAGCAACCTCCAGAGATTCAGCAAAAAGTGAGCTGGTTAATATATATGAGGTCCTGATAGGAGCTATCTGAGCCTTTCTGAACTGGGGCACACTCAGCACACATATTTCAGGTGGCTCCCAACAACTGGTCTACATGAGAGCACCCAAGCAGCAAGGTCATCTTTACTTGAATCCAGCTCTGATCAAATTGAGCCTATTTTTTTGCTCTACCCTGCAGTAAAATTTGCCAGGAAAGTCAAGAAACATTCTATCTTCCCAAAGAGGCCAGTGGGATTATGAGTTGATTTTTTTTTTTTTGTTTCCTTCTAGGAAATGTTCAAGACACTATTATTTAAAATAAGTAGTTGTGAGAGGACCAGCAGAATACACCTGCAGGGACCAAATAGTCTTTAGCCATTGCAGAGAGGAAGGAAGCAATTCCCACTCAAACGGGGGCACAGGGACAAAAAACCTGCCACGAGGACTTAACTGCAGGATCTAAGCTCATGTTGGGCTATTGTCAAGGGGGGTGGGGCTTAAGCAAGCAAGATTTAGATGAAGTATTTTCAGTATGTAAGAGTAATTTTGGGATTGGCTATCCCAATAACTCTCATCTAGAAGTAGGACAGAGTTGGGCAAGACAAAAATGGTGTTGGGTAAACAACAGTCTCAACAGTCTGTGATTTCACCTGGGAGGAGGATATGTGGCTCTTGTGGTCTGGAGAAGGCTGATGCTTTTGTCTGTGTTTGTCGATGTTGAGAGAGGGGGGAGAGAGAGAGAGAGAGAGAGAGAGAGAGAGAGGGAGGGAGGGAGGGAGGGAGGGAGGGAGAGAGAGTGCTTATGCATTTGTGTACATGTGTTTACGTGTATGTGCTTACACCTCTCCTGTGTGTATGTATGTGTTTTGATGTCTCTATCCATCTTGTTCCCTGAAGGACCCTATCTAGGAATGTTCTGTGAAATTACTTATGTTTAGGTTGAGATCTGGTTATTAGAACCAGAACAGCTCCCGTATATCTGGGATCACATTCTTTGTCACAAGTATGGGACTTAGAGTCAAAATTCCCCCACCCCTCTTGTTTTGGCAATGTGGTTGTAGGCAAGTCATTTCATCTTTCTGTTTCTGTGTAGGCAAAAGTGAACTATCATCTCTTCCATGGACCTCAGAGAAAGGCTTCAAAGATCAAAGGATACTGAATTTATAAAAAGAACTTTGAAGGCACAAAAATGCCATGAGTAGTGGTGATTGCTCCAGTGGATATTGTCACCTTCATCATTGCCATTAGCATGATTCTGCTGAGATAGTTATGATGCATTGAACATTACTAATGATGAGTGTCTCTTAGTGCACTTTGCCCAGTCACACACTCACATTCAATTAGCCGACCACCTCCTCCCTGGCCAGGACATGCACTTTGACTCTCTAACATGAAAAAGTGCATGGGAAAGGTTCCTTAATGAGCCAGAGACTGAAGCAACAGAGATCATAAAGAATCTACAAGCATCATGAGTCCTGGAGATGATCTTGTCTGGTTGCACAGGAAAAAGAATAAGCACTGTGAGGCTACAGCTCCCTCAAGGTCACTGTCGGAGCAAGGGAGACTCTGAGAGTAGAATCCAGCTCTCAGAATACTACTTGGAACACAAAGTGTCTCTCTCTGTTTAGGAGGATGAAGAGGGCTGGAGTCAGCACATCCCAAACAGCAAGGAGAGAAAATTTCTGAGGAAGAAGAAATGTCAAAATCAATGACAAAAAAACCCAAAGAAATCTTAAAGAACAACATTGTGTAAAGGATTTAGAGTAGGTATTCCTATGTGAGCTATGATGTAGCTATCTCATTGGTGCCATTAAAACTTGAAGTGAAATCTATACTGTTTGTTAACCCTAGAAGGATAACACTGTTTGGAGGGAAGGACACTGAAAATGGAAGACAATATGCTAATGAAAACTGAATGAACAACCTCAGGATGGGCATGGACAGGGCAGGGCAGTTTTCCCACTCCAGACCTAGTCATATGGAGATATGACAGTGGGAGACAAATGCTTGGTCTTGGCTTCCATTAACCTGGCAAGCTTGTCAGACATGGCTCCAGGGTTGCTGTATAGAGCCTGAGCTCACTGTGGACTCTGGAATGATGTGTGAGACTTATTGGAGGGGGGCATTGTACTAAAAGAAACCACAGCAATCAGAGCATACAAAACACAATTAAGTTGTCTCACTTTCAGAAAAACCACAAAATATGAAATAGAATTTACCAAGGGCCAGAGCCATTTGCCAACATAAAGCCCAGCAAAACATAGCTTTAGCCAAAAGTCCTCACAGTGGCTGCTGGCTCGTTGGTGCAGACAGCTTTGTCCTTTGTTGGTTTTACCTGGGACTGCCAAAATTCCCTGGTCATGGCTGGAATCTTAAAAGATGGCTTTAGAGTGAAATTCTGGTGGAACTGGATACTGTTTTGGAAGCCCCTCAGAGACCTTAAAACTGTTTTGGGGAAAGAAAACCATCATGACTTCTGACTGGAATCTCTTCTTCAGTTAATACCTTTCTATGGGTCGCAGTCTATGTGTGACTCCTCAGTTTCCTCTCCACAACTGGGAGAAGGCAAAGCCTCAAGGGTGTAGCTACTGTGGCCACCAGGAATATGAAGACAAGAAAAGCCTAGTGCTTATTACCCTAATTTCTTCTTTGGGACTAGGACACTTTCTCTGCCTAAAGCTATTCTCCTTACATGTTCCATTGCTCCATAGAAGGACTGTGCTAAGATACTCAGTCAGTAACATTGTGAGTCAAAATGTACCAGTGGCTTGGCTTGAGTTCTATCTCTGGAAGTAATGCTTCATGCAAAAAGATGGCCTGCACTTGGAACATAGGGCATTCTAGTAGACTTTCGAGATATTTCCCAGGTACACAGGAGAGTTCTGGAACCCTCAGAATTGCAATGCTTGGTGTAATAGTACATCCCTTATAAGAGGAACTGGAAAGCATTATTTTTAACTCTTTTTGTTTTTCCAGAATTAGTTTTTCTTGTGCCTCATCTTAAAGTAAGGATTGCTGTTGTCCAGCTCCTAAGAGGGACTAATTTAGGAATGGGAGATCAAAAGGCTACTGGAAGGCAAGAGAAGGAAGAGAGGAGGAGAGAGGGGGAGGGAAGCAGAGGTGACCAGAAGGTCAAAAGGGGTGGAAGGGAGAGAGGGGTAGAGTAATGGAGAGGACAGGGGGATAGGAAGAAGGAAGAATGTAGAGAAAGGATGAAGGAAGCAAAGAGGAGGGGGTAGGAAGAAAGAGGAGGAGATGAATGTGGAGGGGGGAGGGGGAGCTGGGAAGAAAAGGAAGATTGAGAGAAAAAGAGGAGAGGAGGGAGGAGGGAAAGGGACAGAGGTGGGCTCTTTTTAGAGGAGTTATAGTCATTGTCAGTTTTATCAAAACACAATCTTTCAAGTAAACCAAATCTCCTACTGCAGATCAACAGGCTAGATCAGTTCTTTTTGAGCTCTGGGATCTGGGAGCTGGAGGCTGAATTTATCTCCCTCCCGGAGGCACTTTTCACACAAGTCGCTTAAATCACTGCTTACTGGAGCTGTTTATTTAATTATTTAGCACCAGTGACTGGAGGCCAGATGTTCTACAAGCAAAGCCTATGGTCCAGATGCCTGCTGGAACAGTGTTTGTGCATCACGGCTCTTCGGGGCAGCATTTCCACAGATCCAGGAACTTCTCTGCTGTGCATGGTCCAGTCCACCTCAGGGCTATGTAACTCCTGACATCATTCTGCAGCTTGGCTGGGGGATGAGGGGAGCAGGGCTCTGTGCAATGGCACCTGCTTTCCTGTGATTCAGTTATTAGTGTGCCTCTGGAAATTCTATTCACGGTAATGTTTGGGGGCATTTGGGTCACTGTCCTCTTAAAAATCCATCTGGATGCTTTTCTCTCAGCCCCAAAGTCAAAAGGCATTTTCTTCTGAAGGTCTAACAATGTCGTTCTGACCCACTCATTCCCCTTCCACTGTGGGGTATACAATGCCTCTCTGTTTATCACGTCTTGTAAAACTACAGAGGGTGCATTGATCACACCACTCAACACACAACTGTGTCCACAAGGCCAATGCTTATCAGTGGAGTCATTATTATGAACAACCAATCCTTGTTTAAATTGTTAGAATTCAAAGCTTAAAATCTAGTGGGTGTTTCCCACGGCTATTAGGAACAGATCTTCTATACTAAAAAGAACCACACATATATAGCCTGTGGACACATCTGGAGCTTGCAGTTGAGTTAGGTTCAAAGACAGCAAGTATAGCAAACAGGTCAAGGTTTCAAACCATCATTAAAGATCCTTTTCCAGGAGCGAGGGAAATGGCTGAGACGGTAAAGTGCCTTCCATGAAGGCATTGAGGACCTGATTTTGGATACCCAATTCCTATGTAAAAGCTGGGCATGCTAGCTGTGTCTATAACCCCAGTACTGTCATGATGAGGGCATGGAGGGGTGGAGATAAGCAAAATCCCCTAATTAATTTGCCTCCCAGTGTAACCAACCTGTATACTTTGACCTCAGTGAGAGATGTTGTTCAAAAAATAAATAAAGCGGAGAGTGATGGAGAAATACATCTGATGTCAACCTCTGCCCTTTATACACATATGTGGGCACGTGTATATATACACGTGGGCATACACATACAATCATATACTTACATATGCCCCCCCCCCACACACACACCCTCTGCTCTTAGTTTAGTATAGCTAGCCTTCCTGCACTGGTGAAAGGGGAACTTTAGACAGCATGACTCTTTGCCCAAATTTAAAACAACAGGTTCCATCCTAGGGCCTATGATCTCCAAAGCCACGGGCTTTTGGCTCAGATTACAGTACCAAGCATTAAATTTCTCCCTGGGAAACAGGCCTCATCCAATCAGAAAGCAGTTGGTCACCTCATCACTATTATATTACTGCTGCACAAGCTGGCACATCTTGGTAGGCAAGTATTGCAGTATGCAGGGTCGTGCCATCAAATTGCTTTCTAAATATTATTGACCTCACACCCATAGACTGCTCTCATCCTTGGTCAGAGAAGCTTCTTTTTGCCATGGGAAGCCATCAGTGGAGAGATTCACAACTGGTCAAAAAGGGTTAAATAAAGAGATTGGGTGCTCAGCTCTAAATTAAATATCTATATCAACCCCTACTCCACCAAGGCTCAGGGAGGCTTGCAGAAGATGAGGTCAAAATGGTATAATAGCTGGAGGACAGGGAGGAGCACTGTGAAATTCTGTCTTCTGGATGTACCGAGGCTATCATGCTCATCAACCTATAGCAGTTGTAGTTCCCTGCACAGACTATGTAAGATCAAGGCAGAACAAATGCCAGCATAGATGGGGTACACAGTCTCCAGGCCGCACTCCTTACTGGGGAACTACAAACAGTGGGTAGTTGCTGGAGGAGGGAAAAGTATTCCTTTTTGAGGATGTGGCCACTGGTTAGGTTTTCCATAGTTGAGTGATTAGCCCCCTACCTGCATATGTATTGGCAACACTAACTACAATTAGGAAGTTATTAAAGTAAAAGGACATTAAATTGGGTGGGAGTGTGCTGGGGGGAGTTGGAGGGAGGGAATGAAGGGTATATATGATCATACCTCATTGTACACATGTATGAGATTCTCAAAAATAAACAGTTAAAATGTAAAAGTTTGTTTGGTTGAGAACCAGTTGAAGGAGCTGGCTCGTGTGTAGGGGCCATTTAGTTTTGTTCTACTAAAAACAGCTTTTCTGCAATGGCACTTGGTAAGTTAAACATGTAAATAGATGAGACTGAACCTTTCGGTAGAATCAGAGGTTATAAGCTGAATTTGCTTTCTTTATACAGAAAGCGGTCAGCAGAGCCTTGTTCAAGTTCATGTGGGGTCTCACAGGACAGGAAAGGCTGTTTTGTCTAGGTGCTCAGACGGATCAGCCATTTGTCAATTTGTTCTTCTCTTACCTGTCACCAGCCGAGTCAGCACTTTTGTCTGGTCATTGAGAATGTTCACTGTCACATTCCTGGCAGATTTGAAGTATAGGGCATTACCCTGTAATAAGAAAATGGAAGAAGCACATGAAGGTGGCAGATTATTACAATAAAGGCACTGTAATCCCAATTCTTCAAGGGGCTGACCTCGTTCTATCCAAGTTCTGACTGATGCATCTTTGTTTTAGAAGTTCAAATATTTTATGGTATGTGATGATGGGCACACAGTCAACATAAATTTCCTCCAAAGAGATGGACTTCTAACACACACACACACACACACACACACACACACACACACACACACACACGAATACATGCATACACACATACAATTGAACAAGAGATAGCTGAGATTTACAGTTTTTTTGTTTTTGTTTTTGTTTTTTTATCTTAGTGTGGAAAAGAACTAGCCTTGGAGCATAGGAGCAACTGATCACCTTCCAGCCATGCCCCTTCTCATTTCCCGCTTCTCCAGAGGAACCTTGCAGCTCCCAAAGGGAAGGGCAGAAGGGTGGGGTGGACACCTTCCAGTCAACAGAGTCCTCTGTGCAAATGCTGACAGCACATGCGTGAAGCTGGGAGAAAGGACACTGTCAGGTAGCTCTCTGCTTGCCCATTTTTTTTCTGTTCTCCTTTCTAGGGATCTTTGCCTCCAAGTACTCTGGGCTACCATCCACTCTCCCTTTTACCATTAGGTCTCCACGTTCCTTTTCCAATCTGTGTTTCCTTCCTCCTCTAGAATGAAATTCAGGACAGGACACAGCACGCTGTTGTGACAAGCCCGATCCTAAGCCTGGTGGGGTGTGTGATTTCTGTTGACACTGCTCACCTCTGCCATCTTGGTATACAGTCTATCTTCAGTGGATACACACAAGGAGGCATGGCTGTATGCCAAGGAAATGTCACCATGTGAGTAAACTTCAGATGTTACATCATTTTCATTTCACACTTAAAATCTTATGCAAACTTAATATGTTATAAGGTATTATTTCCTTCAGTCCTTCCCAGTCATTTAAAAAGTAAAAAACCCAAACAAAAAAATAAGCAAAAACAAACAAACAAACAAAAAGCTCCAAGTGGTTTTATAACATAAGCTCTTCAAAGCCATTATTTGTCAATTTCTAGTTCAGAAATTCTCCTTTTCAATAATATATGCTGGTAGCATTAGTTGATATTGGAAAAATCAAAATGAACTTAATAGTGAGTTTTGTCTAAATCTGTCATTGAATGGTTTGTGCCTCCCACAAAATTCATTAACACACCAGTGAAATGAATCTGCCCAAATGTCATAAAACCACTATCCTATAAGATAGACAAACTGAGTCTGTGCCTCAAAATTCTGCCTTTTAAAAAAAAAAACTGGTTTCAAGACAGGGCTTCTGTGTAGCCTTGGCTGTCCTGGAACTCACTCTGTAGATCAGACTGGCCTCAAACTTAGAGATCTACCTGCCTTTGCTTCCCAAATGCTGGGATGAAGTGAGTGCAACACCATTGCTTGGCCAAAGTCCTGCTTCCTAATGGGTACAAGTGTACCGAATAGAGAATGCCAGGAGTAATTTGGGAGCAACAGAATGTTTGCAGGGCCTTCCTGATAGGTGGGAGTATCCATTGCTTTGGGCTGAGCAATGAGAAGCATGAAGACATCCTGGAGCAGCAAGCACTTGTGAAGGCACATGGTAGGCACACAGGCATAGTTTTACCACGTTGAAATGAAAAATGAATGTCAGGCAAGCAGTGTGGGTTTGGGGTCTGTGGTGATATACTGTGTACCCTAATAAACTTGCGTGAGGATCAGAGGACAGAGCCAGACATGGAGGTCAGGCAGTGGTGGTTCACACTTTTGATCGCAGCACTTGAGATTTCATGCATTTTCTTGGGAAGCACACATTCCTTTAATCCCAGGAAGTAATATGACAGGGCAGAAAAAGGTATATAAGGTGTGAGGAAACAGGAACTCACTCTCTTTAGACTGAGGATTTCATAGAGGTAAGAACTAGTGGCTGGCTGCTCTGCTTCTCTGATCTTTCAGTTTTCACCCCAATATCTAGCTCTGAGGTTTTTTGTTTTTTTATTAAAAGATCACCTAAGATTTGAACAACAGGTGTCCAATTTATTTTTTTCTTCTGTACTTGACGAGGACAGGGATTGATCATTAAGCCCAACCTAGTACCTGCTTATGACAGAGCAAAAGAATAGTCGGGGTGAAAGCCAGAACTGAGGCCAGAGGTAGCTTCCTCACTTGGAAGATAGGGGAGGATGTGGAAGCCACCAGACACTCACAAACTGGGCTCACAGTGTCTCTCACCTAAGGTCAATTGCTAAAATGGATTGCTAAACCCCATAACCTTTAGGGCATAAGGAAACAGTTAACCTAGGATGTGAGCTATAAACAAGTTAGTGTCTGAGGGAGAGAAGATGACTCCCAATTCTTCAGGCAATGTGGAGTCAGTGTAGTCCCCACAATGGCTTAAAGCTTAAATATCCCCCTGACGTAGAAAAGTCTTTATCTTTAGTTTAATTCAGTCAGAAGCACACAGAATATCTTTCTATATCTATATTTATATCTATATCTATATATTGTCTACAAGGAAACAAATATTAAACTAAAATAGTTTCATTCTTGTTTCTGGTAGCACTTAATAGCTCTGTTTAAATCTCAAAAGCATTCAAATGAAGTTTGAATTTGGAAAAATGGAACCAGGACAGGAGGTTATTATTCCAGAAGTAAATGTTCTAAACTATTTCCTATATTCATTATCCTGGGTCTACAGGGAAAAGAGTGGCTTAGAAGCAGGTACTCTGACTACCATGTGACCTTGAGAACATACGTTGTAACCATGGCATTCTCTGCCATCAACACCAGTGTCCTTATGAAGCTCATCACCACCACAGCTGAGCACTTGTGCTGACATTGCAGTAGGAGACCTGAAATGCAGCTAATTTCTGTCTCTGCCCTACCACTTGCATGCAAGTCATGTGACATTGATAAATAACTTAATTACTCCAAGCCTTGGTTTCTTTATGTGACAATAGAAGTATTCATTATTAAACTTGTAAGGATCCTTACTATGAAAATAATTAACTTATACATATAATTGTTAAAATAGACATGGCCTGGTGGCAGGCATAGATGAAGCTCTCAGTAACTATCAGGGCAAGAATCAAAGGAGAAAAAATTAGTAATGAAAGAAAGAAGAGGAAAGGAAGAGGGGAGAGAAAGAATAGAAAGACAGTAGGGAACGTAGGTGGGATGGAGGGATGGAAGGAAGTGAGGAAAACAACTGTATTGCCTCTCCAGTTTTCCTTAGCCACCTGTAGAATGATTTAGGAGTTTCCTCCATTTCCAGAATTTTCAGCTTCTACATCTCAAAGAGTCTCCCTTTCTCTACACATGCCATTAACTTAACTTTGCCTTTCAAATCCCAGCATCTTCCATCATTACTTGTGCCTTCTTGCTGATATACAAGTCATTCTGTCTTGAACACTATCTCATAACAGCTTTGTTCAAGATTTTATTGTAAGAGAGATTATGCAACCTCCCACTTCTTTCATGTTTTACTTATTCATTTATTTTAATTTTTATTATACTTATTTTTATTTTTGAAATGAAAATATAATTACACAATTCTCTTTTTCCTTTCTTCTTCTCAAGACCTCCCATACCCCATGCCCCCAAATTCATGGCCTCTGGCTTCTTTTTCTTTAGTTGTGATAAACACACATACATACCTCTAAATATAGAGACAGAAATACAACCTGCTGAGTCCACATTAATGTTATACACACACACACACACACACACACACACACACACACACACACACACACACACATTTCAGGGCTGTCCATTTGGTTGAACAGCCAATTTATGGGCTCTTCCCTGAGGAAGACTCTTTTGTCCTCCTCTCAGCATTCCTTAGTTGTCTATAGTTCTATGACTGGTGTTAGGGCACTGTGATTTATTAATTGATATGTGTACAGGTATGTATGTCTGTGTATGTGTGTGCACATATGGAGGTCAGAGGACAACTTGCAGAAGTCAGTTCTCTCCTTCCACCATGTGGGTTCCAAGGGTCTAACAAGGTGGTTAGGCTTGGTGACTAACACCTTTACAAGATGGATCACCTTGCTTCCCTGTTTCTTTTGATCAACAAATCAAAATATTATGCTTTAGTGTTAATTGTTCTAACATGCTGGCATCTTGGGACATGGAATCTTTGCTACGTCAGAGTTTAAACAATGAGTTTCATTCTTGCCCAGTGCTTTTTGTTATAGCCTTCAAGTTTACTTGTAATAGAAAGATTACGGGGAAAGGACTTGAGCCAAGACACAAAAGGGGAAGAGCCTTGCATGGCAGCTGGGGCCCTGTGAATTTCATTTCTTTCTTTGACTGCTTCTGACAGGAAGCCAGGAAAACAAGCCAAGCAAGCACTCCCAAGACTTCTGCTGTATCAGAACACGTGAGGAGTTGGAAGAGAAGCCAGTGTGTGCCCCTCTGCTTCTTCTTGGTTCCCTGCACTGTCCCATGCACCATGATGACCCTCAAGCTGAACTGAAGGTAATTTAGGAGGACAAGGAACCCAGAGGAAACTGCCTGGGTGGGCAGAAAGGAATCTGCAGACTTATCTGATGGCCAAAAACAGGGAGTCAGATTGTGGTCAATGAACTTGCTCTTCTGGAGATAGGGGGAGGCTACCTGTAACAGATGGAAAAGATGCCAAACACCATATTTTGTGCTGGAACTTGTAGCACACAGATACTTTGGTAGAGAAGAACTCCCCACCTCTCCAATTCTCTCAAGCGGACTCTCAGAACACAGTGCTAATTTTTCTTGATGTCTTGGGGTGAACATTATTGGTATGGACATTATTCACTCCACCCGTCGTCCAGTGACTACTGTAAGAGGCCATTTCAACACCAAATGGCTCTATCCTGCTGACATTTAAAATTACTGTATCTGTTTAAAAATATATTATTTATTCTTATATTGAGATAGAACAGGTAAATGTCAAATCTGTGAGACTTACAGCAAAGAGCCATAATTCAAGTCTTTTGCCA